AAAAAACCCCCCCCCCCCCCCCCCCCCGGAAAAACCTACGTCTCTCAATAGGCGCAATCATGTAGACCTTCTGAATGAGCATTCTGACACACAGCAAGAACTGTCCCACCTCTAAATTCATTTTTTGAGCGTTAAAATGTGTGGTCAGGTGTCGGAGCAGGTCGTAGATGCACTTTCCGTCGCCTCTCTGGAATAAATATGGGATTTTTAGGGGATTTTAGGTCAAAATTGTCCACAATAAGGTGAATTTTGACCATTTCTAGGTCCAAAAAGTCAATCTTTTTGGCTAAATTCGGGGTTTTTGAGTCAAAAAGTAAGCTAAAATATTGAAAATGACCCAAAAAATGGGATTTTAGGAGGATTTTGGATCCTAAATTCGGATTATTTGAGGCAAAAATGGCAATTTTTTTTCAACAAAAATTCAGATTTCCAGCTGAAAATGAGCTCAAAAAATGAATTTCGGGGGCATTTTCCGGACAGGGAAAATTGACAAAATTTTCATGATTTTTAGAACATTTTCCATTGGAAAATCCTTCTTTCTAAGTTAAAATGAGCTATAAATTCGAATTTCAGCAATTTTTCAGATCAAAAATGGGTCAATTTCGCTATTTTCAGGCTCAAAATCCCCCCAAATTTCTCGATTTTTCCGCTAAAAACCTCGAATTTCCGCTCTGAATCACCTCATCAGCCCAAGTACAAACAATCGTCGTCATATCATTGTAGACTACGGTATTCATCTCCGCTTTGTTGTCCCTTGGCGCCACTGATGCCACAATGTTCGCCATGACTGGCTTGAATTTCTTATGGACTTCTGGCGCTGTGCATTGGACGATGAAGCTGATGACGTGGATTAGCACTGGGCGGGAACTGCAAAAATTTTGAATTTTTAGCTATTTTAGAGCTGTTTTAAGCCAAAAAATTCGATGATTTTCGGCATTTTCGGCTGATTTTGTCGCTATTTTGGGCTATTTCCAGCAAGTTTAAGTCAGTTTTGAGCCATTTTCAACATAATTCAAGCTACTTTGAGATTTTGGCTCATTTTCTGCAATTTTCGGTTAGCTTTTTTGCCGAAAATTCAGAAATTTCGGTCATCTTTTCCTATTGAAAATAGAGATTTTGACTCAAAAAATCATCAATTTTAAGCCAAAAACTTCGATTTTCGGCTTAATTTTCAGCCTAAAATTAATTTTTTCCACTGAAAATTGCCTATTCTTACGTTGCATATCGCTCATTAGCCGGATCAAAAGCTGTTTCGAACATCTCCAGTGGGATCGATGAGAATAGGCGTTCTGAGCGTTTTTTGTCGAGTAGAGCGTGCTGAAAATAGGGAAAATGGTCATTTTGGACCATTTTAGAGCTGAAATCGCCAGTTTGGGTCATTTTTAAACTTTTTTTTGGCTGAAACTGATATTTTAGGTCATTTGTTGACAATTTTTGGCTGAAATCGCCATTTTAAGGCACTGAAAGTGGTCATTTTTGAGGCTGAAAATCGTCATTTTGGGTCATTTTTTTGACAACTTTACGACTGAAAATGGTATTTTTGAGCAATTTCAAGGCTGAAAATCGCCATTTTAAATTATTTTTCGACAATTTTTTTTGGCTGAAAATCGGCATTTTGGGTCATTATTTAGCTGAAAATGGCATTTTTGGCCAGTTCAAGGCTGAAAATCGTCATTTTAAGGCTGAAAATCGGCATTTTGGGTCATTTTTTGACAATTTTTTAGCTGAAAATGGTACTTTTGAGCTATTTCAAAGCTGAAAATCGCTATTTTAAGTCATTTTTCGGCTTAAAATACCTTAATATTCGCCGGAATATCAATCAACTGCTGCATTTTGCCATGAAAATCGACATTCGGGTCCTGGAAAATTTTCACATGCTCCTCGATTTGCTCATCCAGCTTTTTGTACTCCTCAGCCTTTTTTGCCGCCAATTTAGCCTCTTTTACGATACGGGCGGCCTCGAGTTGCTCAGGAGTCTTCTTCTCCTCGATTTCTATTTTTTCCAGAATCTTCTCCAGATTTTCTTCAATTTCGCCCATTTTTTCCTCGGTTTCCTTGCTGAAAATCGATATTTTTCAGAGTTTTTAGAGTCAGAATTCAATTTTTTACCTCATTTTTTCCGATTTTGCCTCTTTCTTCCCGTTTTTCTTGCTGAAAAAATTCAAAAAATTTTAGTTTATTCTAGAAAGTTTCTAGAAATTTTGAAGTTGTTTCTTACCCATTCTTGCCTCTTTTTGTCTCTTTTTCCTCGTTTTTGCTGAAAAAATGCGATTTTAGGCATTCTGGACCTGGCAAATCGATATTTTTACCTCATTTTTTGTGATTTTCAGTCCTTTCGATGTTAAAATAGCGGAAAATGAAAAAATTTGGGTTAAAATTGATGAGCTTAATGAAATCAAGCGCCTGATACACTTTGAATCAAGCACGTTTTCGTCATGGAAACGGCGAAATAGTGGGGGAATGAGGAGACGCAGAGAAACAACAAGCAAACGCGCTCCACCGCACTTTTGGAGATTTTTTCCGCGCCAGTTGGAGCCTAAATTTTCAGGTTTCCAGCTGATTTTTTTAGCTTTTTTCTTGATTTCTCGACTTACATTTTCGAAAAATACGATTTAAATCAAATTTTACATCTAAAACTATTTATGTTACAAGGAAAATTTGGTTTAAAGAGGTTTTCTGGGTCGAAAATACTTTTTTGAAAATTTCCCAAAAAACCAATTTTCGAATAAAAAAAAAAGATTTCTAGGTAAAAATCGACGATTTACAGGAGATTCCAGGAGAAAATCGAGTCAGAAAGCTCTAAAACTATCAAAATCAATTTTTTTCCAAAATTTTGCAAAAAAAAATTTTTTTTTTTCTCAACCTAAAAAGTCTATTTTCAGCAGATTTTTCACTCAAAATTGAATTTCCCGCTGGATTTCATATTTTTCTTCCCAAAATCAGAATTTCCTTCAATTGCACAACATTGCGATATTTTTCCTTTTTCTCATTTTTCCTCCTCTTTTTATAACTTACACTCAAAATGTCCGATTTCCCGCCAATTTTTTTCCCAAATTCCCCGAATTTCAGGTCAAAAACCCCAAAAATGAGTCGGAAAGGCCCGTTGATCAAGAACAACGAGACGGATGTGCCGTTGCGTATCGCCATCGTCGAGAAGGATCGATGCAAGCCGAAGAATTGCGGTTTGGCCTGCAAGAAGGCGTGTCCAGTGAATCGGCAAGGTAAAAAAAGCTAAAAATTGCGGGTTTTTGAGCCAAAAACAGTGCGTTGTGATCCAAAAATGACGGATTTGCAGTCAAAAGTCATGAATTTCGTGCTAGAAATGAGCTAATAATTCTATGAAGATGAGCCATCCGTGGGTCAATTTTGGCTGGAGAATGACAATCTTCAGCTCAAAATTCGCGTTTTTCATAAAAATTTGTGCTGAAAATAGGTTAAATAAGGTTCTAGGTCCATTATTTCAAAAACTGTGAAAATAATCCATTTTCTGATGATAGTAGCTTAAAGTTCTCAAAATTGCCTGTTTTTTTCGCTCGAAAATCCGATTTTCAGCCATTTTCCTCCAACAATGTAATTTCGAGCTCAAAATTCAATTTTTAAGCCATTTTCGAGCCGTTTCGAGCTATTGTAAGCTAATTTTTGAGCTATTAAAAAAAATCGAAATTTCGTCTTTTCTCGGCCAATTTTGGCTGAAAATGGCAATTTTCAGCTCAAAACCTCTGTTTCTTCACAATTTTCGATCTAAAAAATTCCAGGAAAGATGTGTATCGTCGTCGAAGCCACGTCGACAATCTCCACAATCTCTGAAATCCTGTGCATTGGTTGTGGTATTTGTGTCAAAAAATGCCCATACGACGCCATCAAAATCATCAATTTGCCAGCGAATTTGGCCAATGAGACGACCCATCGTTACTCTCAGAACTCCTTCAAACTCCATCGTCTTCCGACGCCACGTTGCGGAGAAGTCCTCGGACTCGTCGGAACGAACGGAATCGGAAAATCGACGGCGTTGAAAATTCTGGCGGGAAAACAGAAGCCAAATCTGGGAAACTTCCAGAAGGAACAGGAATGGACCACGATTATTAATCACTTCCGTGGTTCGGAACTTCAGAATTATTTCACCAGAATTCTCGAGGATACGTTGAAGTGTGTCATCAAGCCACAGTACGTTGATCAGATTCCGAGAGCTGCCAAGGGAACGGTCGAGCTGAATTTGAAGAGAAAACATGATAATGAGAATTTGGAGACGGTCATTGATCAGATGGGTAAGGAATCGAGCAAATTCGAGCAATTTAAAGCTATTTTGACCTTTTTGAGCTGTTTTGAAGTGTGTTTGAGCTATCATTGAGCCATTTTAAGCTATTTTTGCGGTGTTTTTGAGCTATTTTCCAAGCGATTTTAGAGCCAAAATTTCGATTTTTCGGCATTTTTGACTGATTTTGTATCTATTTTGGGCTATTTCAAGCAATTTTAGAGCAATTCTGAGCAATTTTAAGTCAGTTTTGAGCATTTCTGATGTGTCTCTGAGCTGTAAGTGAGCTATATTAAGATATTTTTCAGCTATTCTTGAACAATATTTCGATTTTCAGGCACTTTTTGCAAATTTCAAGGCCATTTTGTTCTAGAAAAATTCTAGTTTTTGGGACAAAAAACCTGAATTTTCCGCTGAAATTTCAGGATTTTGTATCATTTTCCTGACAAAAATGCAATTTTTTTCCATGGAGAATGTTCCATTTTGTGGCTGGAAATCGCAAATTTTAAGCCAAAAATCACAGATTTTGGGTAAAAATCAGCACTTTTTGACGAAATTTTGAATTTTAACACTGGAAATGTCCTATTTTGGAGCTGGAAATTGCAAATTTCAAGTCAAAAATCACAGATTTTGGCTCTTCTTGAACTAATTTTTGAGCGTTTCTCAAGGGTTTTAAGCTAAAGGTTACGATTTTTGGTATTTTAGACTCACTTTTCGCAAATTTTGGCTTATGTTTCTGCCAAAATTGCGAAATTTTGCTATCTAGATCTAATTTTCAGCTAATTTTCGAGCTGTTATGAGTTATTTCTAGGCCACTGAACTATTTTTGAGCTATTTTAAGCGAAATTTGACTATTTTTCCAGAGCTCCGCGGATTGCTCAACCGCAACATCGACCAGCTGTCCGGAGGAGAACTCCAACGCTTCGCGATCGCCATGTGCTGCGTCCAAAAAGCCGACGTCTACATGTTCGACGAGCCATCGTCCTATTTGGACGTCAAACAACGTCTGAAGGCCGCCGCCATCATTCGTGAACGCATCTCCGACACCAACTACGTCGTCGTCGTTGAGCACGATCTCGCCGTCCTCGATTATCTGTCTGACTTCATTTGCTGCTTGTACGGAGTGCCTGGAGTCTATGGAGTCGTCACGTTGCCGTCTGGAGTTCGTGAAGGAATCAATATGTTCTTGGATGGATTCATTAGAACTGAGAATATGAGATTCAGAGAGTCCAAGTTGTCTTTCAAGACTTCTGAACAGCAGGAGGATATTAAGAGAACGGGAAATATCAAGGTAAGGCTCTTAAAATGATCCAAAATGGTCTGAAATGGGATTGGAACCGCTCAATATGAGCCCGAAATGGTTCAAAGTGGGTAGAAAAAAAGTCAAAATTCGGTGAAAAACTTCAAAAATTGTAAGAAAAATCGGCTAAAAATTTTTCAGCTAAAAATTGACCCAAATGATTCAGGAGTGGTCCAAAATGCTCCGAAAATAGTCAAAAAGTGGCCGAAAATAGGCCCAAAATGGCCAAGAACATGCTTAATATTGCCCAAAATGAGCCCAACGTGGGCTAAAAACGACCGAAAATGGGTCAATAAGCAGTTTTCTGACGCAAAAATCAAATTTTCCAAGCAATTTTAAGCCAAAAACCGATTTTTCGGGCGTTTTCGGTTGGAAAATTGGATTTTTTACTTTAAAAAAAAGAATGACTGAATCGGCCTTAAAATGACATAAAATACATTAAAACCCCATTTTTTCAGTACCCAGCCATGTCCAAAACCCTCGGAGACTTCCACCTGAACGTCGAAGCTGGAGACTTTTCCGACTCTGAAATCATCGTCATGTTGGGAGAAAATGGTACCGGAAAGACCACTATGATTCGAATGATGGCTGGATCTCTGAAGCCAGAAGACGAGGACACCGAGTTGCCACGTGTCACCATCTCCTACAAACCACAAAAAATCTCGCCGAAATCCGAGACCACTGTCCGTTATATGCTTCACGATAAGATTCAGAATATGTACGAGCATCCACAATTCAAGACCGACGTCATGAATCCGTTGATGATGGAACAGTTGTTGGATCGAAATGTAAGAGCTAGCTATAGTCAAAATCGACCAAAAACGCGCCAAAGGCACCCCAGAAGCGGTCCCAAATCTGGTCATTTTTAAGCCGAGATTTATTAATTAGCTTTTTTTTTCAAAGGCACTCCAGACCCTCTAAAACCTCAAAAATCCTTCATATTTTATGTTAAAAATAGGATGCAAGCGCGCCAAAGGCTCTCCAAATCCTTCAAAATCTCAAAAAACTCTTTGCTTTTGATCAAAAATTGTCCGAAAACGCGCCATAGGCACCCCAGACCCTTCAAATCTTCGAAAAACCTATATTTTTGTTCAAAAACGCCCGAAAAAGGTCACAAAGTCAACCAGAAGCTGGGCGTTTTGGTCATACGTTTTGGTCGAGCTTGTTTTTGTCGAAAAATCGGCGAAAAACGCGCCAAAGGCACTCCAGACTCTTTAAAGTCTCGAAAACCGCTTATTTTATGTTAAAAACGCACCGAAAGCAACCCAGACTCCTTGAAATCTCCAAACCCCTCTATTTTTGCCAAAAGCGCGCCAACAGCACCCCAGAACGCTCAAAACCTCGTCATTTTTCCAGGTAAACGAGCTGTCCGGAGGAGAACTTCAGCGTACCGCCCTGGCACTATGCCTTGGAAAGACCGCGTCTCTCTATTTGATCGATGAGCCATCGGCGTATTTGGATTCTGAGCAACGTCTTCACGCGGCGAAAGTCATCAAACGATTCATCATGCACGCCAAGAAGACGGCGTTCGTCGTCGAGCACGATTTCATCATGGCCACGTATTTGGCGGACAGAGTCATCGTTTTCGAGGGACAACCATCCGTCAATACGACTGCTTGCAAGTGAGTTATAGGTGAAAAAATATGGTGGAAAATGGCTAAATTTACGAAAAATCAGTGAAAATTATGTAAAGTTCCCCAGAAAAAAACTGAAAATGCGCTGAAATCGTCTTAAAATTACCCGAAATTCGTTAAAAATGGCCTAAAATTGACGGAAAAATGTGCTGAGATCGCCTAGGAATAGCCCAAAATCGCCTTAAAGGGGGGGGGGGACAGATTTTTCGTAGTTTTTTTGTAGCTAGAGTATGCATTCTACCGTCACGATGTACAACGCTTAATGTCACTCTGTGTACAGCTGTCGTCCTCGCCTTTATGTATGCAATCGGGCGTGCGCTTTCTCTTTGCCCGCGTGGCTCAGTCGGTTGCGGCGCCGCACCCTCAATCATCGCCCTCACAAGTTCAACTCGAGGGGCATCTTTGAACGGAATTTCGAGAAAATTATTTTTTTCATGTCTCCCCACCTTTAAAATTATCCGAAATTCGCTAAAAGTAAGCCGAAATTGACTTTAAAAACCTGTTTTGTGGGGTTTTCAGGCTCTAAAATTGTAGAAATTCGATCGGAGTCGAACTTTCGAGCTAGAAAGTTTCAAAAATCCGTTTTTTCCCAAAAAAAATTGGAAATTTTCTGACCTAAAGAACATCTAAAATAGCTAATTTCTTGTCTAAATTGTTCCTAGAAGTCGTCAATTTCCCCCCTATTTTGTTGATTTCCAGACCACAATCTCTGCTCGAAGGAATGAATCGTTTCCTGAAAATGCTGGATATCACATTCCGTCGTGATCAGGAGACCTATCGTCCGCGCATCAACAAATTCGAATCGGTGAAGGATGTAGAGCAGAAGAAGAGCGGTCAATTCTTCTTCCTCGATGATAATTAGACTCTTTTTTGCCTTTTTTTTCTGTTTGTTTGAAATTCTCGAATTCTGGAATTCCGTTCTTTTTCCCCTAATTTTTGTTGTGGTTCTATCGGTTTTGGCCCTTCTTTTTTGGTAGTTTTTTCATTGAAATCCTGTTGCTTTTCCAAATCAGAGTTAATTGGTTTAATTAATTAATTATTCTATTTTTTTTGGATTTTTTGAATATTCAAAAATTCCAACAAAAATAATTCCTTTTCTGTTGCTGTTTTCTCTATTTTTTCTTAAAATTTTCCCTATTTTTGGTGGTTTTTTTTTTCTATTCTATAATAGAATTTTTCTATTGTTTGTCCCCGTAAATTTTGTTTTCTTTTTTCTCTCTTATTTATCTAAAAAAAAGAAAAAAAGTGAGAAAAATCACACAGCTAACAACCCATTGAGAGTGACCAGAACTCTGGTCCATGAGGTGTTCAGGAGGGTTTATTAGCTTTTTAGTGTCCAAATTTTAAAAATTTCAGTTTTAAAAATCTGAATATAATTCCAAAAAATCCCAAAAATAGAAATTCGAATAATATTTTTAAAACCTGAAAATCCCAAAAAATTCCGAAAAAATACGATAGTTTCGAAAATTCCATCCGAAAATGCCAAAAAAAAAGAAAACTCCAATAATCAGAAAATCCAAAAAAATGTTTTAATCCAGAAAACAGAAATTCGAAAATTTTGAAAATCCCCAAAAAATTTAATTAAAACTTTGAAAATTCTGAAAATCTCCAAAAATAAAAATTCGTGAATTCTAGGAAATCTGAAAATCCCAAAAAAAAACTTTGTCCAAATTTTTCTCTGAAAATCCTAAAAGTTGGGGTTTCTGGATTTCAAAAAACCTCAAAATCCCAAACAAATTCTTCAAAAATCTGAGAATCCTCCATAGAATAAGCACCTGAAAACTCAAAAAATCCCGAAAATTAGAGATTCTGAAATTTCAATAAAAGTGGAAATTCGAAAAACTTTTAAAAAACTTACTTATTAGAGGAAATTTTAAATTCCCAAAAAAGTTTTTTTTCATTTTTTTTTTCAAAAATTCTAAAAATCAAAAAAAGAAGAAGACGTTCAGTTTACATTTCATGTCTCTATCCCTATCTTTTTCCCTTCTTTTTCGCCGCTTTTTTCTGCCTAATTTGACCTTCACGCCCATTTCCTTCCCCGCCGCCAAACAGGGAAAATTGGAAAAATTTTTTTCTCTCTCTCTCTCTCAGTTATTTTTTTATCCCGAAGTTTCGCGGTTTCAAATTCTCCAAGAAGATTCTTTGAACAAAAATTCAAAAATGGACGAGGATTTCCTAGTCCGCGGGGCCACAAATTCTTTGTTGATTTTTAGAAAAAAAAACGTCTTAAAATAGCCTATTTGTCATTTTTGGTCACTAAATTTGTCAAAAAATAAAGCGATGACCGTGGACAAGGAATTCCTAGTCCAGTTTCGGCGATTTTTTTCAAAATTTCGCAAAAATATTCAAAAATGTCTAATGAGCTTTTAAAGGAGGCCAGACATCAAAAAAAAAAGTTTTCCTGATATTTTTCATAGAGAACCCCCATGAGGGGTTGAACTCATGACAGGCAGCTCAGGGGTACAGCGCTGCTACCGGCTGAGCTACGGGGGCGCGAAGGCGCCTGACGACCGATGGTCTACATAAGCGCGGCGCGATTTCGTCCCCCGAACTGTCCCCCGAAATTTTTGCTGTCTCGCCTCCTTTAAATTTATACATTCTCCAATTTAAAAGTGGTGTGCGGTGAAAAATTGTATTGCTTTATTTTGTGCAGAAATCCAAGTAGATTCACATAAAAATAAAGAAAAAAATCAAAAAAAAAGTGGGAACTGGT